GTACAATGCAGTGGTCTTAGCATATTCATGAAGCTGTGCAGCAACCATTACTATCTAGTTCATTTTAATTACCTCTAAAAGGAACTTATATCCATTCATAGTTATTCCTTCTATCCCCCTCCCATAGTACCTATTAACCATTAATCTACTTTTTCTGTCTGTAGATGGCATCTTATGAACATTGAATCTATTGGAGTCACACAATATGTGATCTCTTGTGTTGGTTTCTTTCAGTTGTTTCATTAAAAACACATGTTTTAGGGCTCATCCATGTGGTAACATCTACCTGTTCTTCATTCCCTTTTATTGCTAAAGACAGTCCATTGTATGGAGATATATACAACCATTCTTCACTCCTGGCATCATTTTCTACTGATCTTCCTAACTCATGAAATATGTCAAGGCTTCATCCATGCAGCTGAATTGGGGTTGTCTTCCCTTTTTAATCTCTGTAGAATTCTTATATTTACTTTCTTTTTTTTTTCCTCCCCCATCTTCTTTTTTCATTTTTTGAGTCAGGGTCTTATTACATAGTCCTGGCTGTCCTGGAACCCAATATGTAGACCAAGCTGGCCTTGGACTCACTAAGACCCACCTGCTTCTATCTCTTAAGTGCTGGGATTAAAGGCGTGCACCACTATTGCCTGGCCTCTCCTATTTTCTTAACAGTGCAACTCTACATTCAAAAAAGTATTTTTATACAGCAGTGTATCAGCTTTGTCCTGGGATGGTTTTAGGGCTAATCTTCATTTTAGTGACAATAAAAGTCTTGAATTAGAGGTAATTTAAAGAATTTAATTTTAAGAATTTAGAGGTAATTAAAAAGACTCTTGAAGAGTGATTAACTCTGCAAAGGAATTCAGTTTCTTTCAGGTCCTTCTTATTTTCCAAGTCATTTATTTGCCTTAATTGTGTTTCATATTTTATTGTACTCTGTATGTGGCAGTTTTACAAAATAGTCAATTTCTTTAGGGTTGACATGGAATCTAATTTACTATTGTATATTCAGCATATAGGGCAATTATTTTAGGGGCTGGAGAGATGGTTCTGTGGTTAAGAGGAATTGCTGCTCTTGCAGAGGATGGGGGTTCAGTCCCCAGCACCCACTGTAGGCTAGCACTCAAATGCCTCTAATTCCAGGACTCCACAGGCCCCCCCACAGCGCATATGCATTCATATGCACACACACACACACACACACACACACACACACACACACACACACACACAAATAAAATCTAAAGAGCAATGCTTTATACACAATAGCTATTTAACAAATGCAATTATTAAACTCAAGCACATACATATTGATCCGATGCATCTGAAGTTGCCTGAAATAGTAATTCTAAGTCTTAAAGATTTCATTAATGTATTTAAAATATTTTTAATTTGAAATTTTATTCATTTATTATTACTGCATGTGTATGATATGTATGTAGGTGCATGTGTGTATGCCACAGCACCTGTGTGGAGGTCAGAGGACAACCTTGTGAAGTTCATTCTTTCCCGTCACCTTTGTGTGGGTTATAGGGGTCAAATTCAGGTCACCAGGCTTGTGTGTCAAGATCTTTACCAACTAAGCCATCTCTCTGGCCCCTATGTTATTTTTTTTTAGGAAGTGTCTCACTGTGGAGCTTCCAGCTCTCTGTCTTCCTGTCTCAGTCTCCTGTGGCTGGGATTACAGGCCCACACCACCACACAAGTCTGTGTTACTTCGAGTTGTGGGACTTCCTTTTCTTTCTGACTAAAATAACCAGATTGATATCTCAGGAAACTTCATTATTAACAGACTTTTCGGTAACGTTATGAATATAATTATAAGTAAAATTCACTTGGCATTGACCATCCTATACTGACTGCTATGACAGATTGCATTTTGTAATGATTACAAAACTCATTCTATTCTACTTTGATCAGTATCATATTTTCCTATTTCAAAACAATGAAAGATGTCTTCCAAAGTATTTATTTATATATGACGTTATTATAAAATTTTTTATAAATTTATTATAAAATGTAGCCACTTTCCATATTTTATCTCTTTGTTAGATAAAGGCATTCTGAGAGATTACAAGACACTTATTTTGAAGTATCTAATAATAGGATATTTAAATCAACATCATCAGCTTTCTAATCATATTTTCCTTTATACAGTCACGTTGTCAGCACAATTACACCTCACATTACCATGCACTTGCTTACACTTCACTTAGTTTCCAGCTATAGTTTTCGCCATATGGAAACTTTATTTAACCAAATAATTTTTAAGTCCCTTGAGGTCAAGAAGGGATTTCCTAGTTGTCAATGCTAGCTCATACCTACAACCCTAGCCTTTGGGAACTGAGGCAAGAGGATGGTCACGAATTCAGGCCAGCCTGACCTACAAAGTAAGACTCAAAATCAAAACAAAAGCATACAAACAAAAAAGAATGTGTTTTTCTGTTGCTTGTGGTTTATTAATAATAGCTGTGGTTTGTTGAGGGCTTACTGAGGGGCAGGATCTTTGTACACAGTTTGCTGTTATTTATGAGAACATGAAAACCTAGGGATTATTTCTCCCATTTTGCAGAATGCAGAAAGCCTAAAGTCTCAACGGCATAAGCCTATTAGGTGACTATGATGATGGGATCATGATACATAATTATCCACTTGACTGATTTGTGCCATTTGGGTGAAAATCTTCTATCTGGCCACAGTGAAATAGGAGAAAAGACACAAGTTTAAATCCTTGTGCTATTATTAAGATACCAGCTTGTTTCTATGGACAAGTGCTTACTTTCCATCAATTCTGAGATTCCTGATTGGTAGAATGGGATATTTTAAAAAGAAGGCCCAACCCTTACCTTGAAAGAGTTATGGATATTAAACAAGAAAAATAGATGCAAAATAAATATTCATAACTCACTTATGTGTTTCTTTTGTCTCATTTAAATGTAAACCAAATGAAATAAGTGAATAAATTAAGATTCAAGAAGAGCTGGGATGTGGTTGTGGTGCATGCCTTTAATCACAGAACTCTGGATGCAAAGGCAGGTAGATCTCTGTGAGTTTGAAGTCAACCTGGACTACAGAATGAGTTCCAGGACAGCTAGGGAGGTTACACAGAGCAACCTTGTCTCAAAAAAAAAAAAAAATTAAAAAAAGAAATATTTATCCAAATCTCATTTGCATATATATACATATATAATTCACTAGTCTGCAAATGATGATGCAATTCTGTATAATTCAAGATTTTATGGAGCACTTTTTATATGCCAATATACACAAATTACATTAAAACAACCTCAGAGAATCCTTCAGAAAATTGCTATCACAGAGACCTAAAGAGAGGCCAGTTGGTTTTGGATATCCTTGTTGCTTTCCAGTAATCTTTTAATCTAGTAGAAGGAGATTTAAATCGTTTTCCTGAGAAATCCTTTCCCTCAAATTGACAGATGATTTTTGTGTCAGGTAACTTTTTGTTAGTTGATTTAATGTCATTGTCATTCTGTATCTTGGATTTTATGTCTGGCACTTTGATCTTATTTTTCTTCAGTTTATTCTGTTGCTAAGTAGAAAATCCTCATTATGTAAAGGCATTATATCCTGTTTAAATTACATATATTTGAATTAAAAATAATGATATAAAAATATACTTTGGGATAGAAATGATAAAAAAGTCTATATTGATCCTCTATATAATCTTTTCTGCTAAAGAAGTGCTATTTAGCCGGGCGTTGGTGGCGCACGCCTTTAATCCCAGCACTCGGGAGGCAGAGCCAGGTGGATCTCTGTGAGTTCGAGGCCAGCCTGGGCTA